AAATTTTCTTTCAATACTAACTTTGGGAATAAAATTATTTAACTAAAAATTAATGAAAATGATTGAAAATATATAATAGTAGTGAGTTGCGAAACATAAAGTTGTGATATATAAAATCACTAAAAAATAAACCCATATTCAATATATTAGAAAAGTGTAATAATAAACATGTGAGTATATAACTAATAAATTTTTTGAAATAATGATAATTAATGAATAATAAAATATGCTGTTAAAAGGTATTAGGTATTTGGTTGACAATGGTTTATTAGCATTCGATCAAAGTGGTTTTAACTTTAACTGTTTTGCATATAATTTTATGATAATTAATGTGTTTTATAATTATGTTTCTTATTTTATAATATTAATCACTAAAATCGTGGATGATATTCTTTGGCATTTCAAAGTGTAACATTTACACATTAATTCTTAAAACTAGCAAACTTGAAGATGAGATGCTAAATAAGTTGTCAAACATAAATAATTAAGACGTTATTTCTTAAACAAATATTAAAGATCCCATCATTAAGATGCATGTGTTGACCAAGTCTCCAAAATAACATATTTTAATAAACATATTGTTTGTCCTTTGGCTTACTTTTCAAAGAGTGTGGGCTATTTTAACGATTAAAAAATATTTTCATATCTTTCATTAATGAGATTTGATAAATTTTTGGAATTAAATTTATTCTTAGTTCTTAAAAATTTATTTTTTAAATTTGGAAAGCAAAAATAATTTTTTTAGTTATTTTAAATTTTAAAATATTTTATTATTTATTTTTTAAAAAAAAATAAATATAGTAGTTTTAATATAAAAATATCATATTTTTTTGTTAAATAGTTTTTCAGTTTAACATTTGAACCGAAAAGTGTTTAAGAGGATAAGTAGTTTAAATTTATTTTAAAACGTTGTGTGACAAAAAAAACGTAACAGTTTATTAGAAAAATCATATTTATTTATTTTTAAATTTTTAACTATCACACTGTATCAAAATTTAGAAACTAAACAGATGTCAGCTTTACTTTTATTATTTAAATAACTTAATTAATATTTTACTATAATGCTTTAATTTAAAACAATTTCTTAAATAGATTTCATTACTTATTTCACATATTTAAGGGTCTGTTTGGTTCATTAAAACATAAATGACTACACAACATAAAATTATTTATAATTCGTTTCATTTTTGAAATTGGCACGAAATAACATAAGACAAGTAAACGTAAACTATTTTAATTCATTAGATTAGATGAAAACTTTTTATCTTATTTATAATAAAATGAAAAATCAAAATTATTCATCTTAATCTCGTGTAGTATAGATGCAGTATAAAAATAGGAAATTATTGAAAAGTTGAGGTTGAAATAAGAATGGCAATGTCTTGGGAGGCAGAATCTGATGTGTTGTCAAGAGCTCTTGGTATGTTTTGGTACAGCATGAATTTCTGTGTGAGTGTGAACTTTTATTGTTTTGGTTTGTACGAAATCAGATACAGAAGGAAGTGACAACAAGGAATGTCTGCGATGGCTGGAGGAACAACCGAGCAGAAGCGTGGTGTTTCTGTGTTTCGGAAGCAGAGGATCGTTCTCGGTGTCACAGTTGAAAGAGATAGCGAAAGGGTTAGAGAAGAGTGGAAAGAGATTCTTATGGGTAGTGAAGAGACCATTAGAAGAGGAGGGAGCAAAGCATGATGAGGACGCAACAAAACGGGGAGATCAGTTCGACTTGAATCCAGTGTTGCCAGACGGGTTTCTGGAGAGGACCAAGGATCGAGGCATGGTGGTCAAGGCCTGGGCCCCGCAAGTGGAGGTGCTGAGTCGTGAATCGGTGGGGGGGTTTGTGAGTCATTGCGGGTGGAACTCGGTGTTGGAAGGGGTGGTGGCGGGGGTGCCGATGGTTGCATGGCCACTGTACGCAGAGCAGCACGTGAACAGGGAGGTGATGGTGGGAGAGATGAAGGTGGCTGTTGGCGTGAATCAGAGGGTAGAAGATGGGTTTGTGAGTGCAGAGGAAGTAGAGAAGAGAGTGAGGGAAGTGATGGAGACAAAAGAGATCAGAGAGAGAAGCTTCAAACTCAAACAAATGGCTATGGCTGCTGTTGCACAATTTGGATCTTCCA